CGATGTGTTGGAAGAAACTGAGTGACGCGTTGGCAATGGCAACGGAGCCACACCTTGCTCAACTTCAGCGGTTGAGCAGCTGTTCCGCTACTCACCTCAGTCCGCTCCGCCCAGAGGCTAGCGGGCTTGGTGTGCTGATGCCTGCGACCCACCGTGATGAGTGGAAGGCAGAGGTAGGTGGTTTGGCACGCTCATGATAGCTGAGAGCATCCAGATTTCGACATTGCTTCCTCACAGGATGGGCAAGATCTGGTGGTCTTGCTCTTGGCCAGAGGTACATATTTCTCTCCCTCCCGTTGTCACTCTTCATCATTGCCGCCGACTACAAGGTGCACAGGCTTCGGTTTACTTCCTCCTTACCGACAACAACATACATATCTATCTAGCTTTCTTCCCCATCGCTAGTACCGGATAAGGATCAGGCCATACCGATGGGTATTGATATGATACCTCGTAAGTATCATCTGGTACCTCGCAACACGTGATAACCCTGACGTATCACTTAATACCTATCGGTATCAGAACTTGATCTCTCGTAGTATTATCTCGTTCGGCCAGGATGAGATCCCATGGTGTATTAGTTTTTCCATAAGATTATACTTTAATACGTCCCACGATGATTTAAGTAGCCATTATCAGAATATTCAACCATTCAACACGACATGCGGCTACTGATTTCTTTGCGTGCGCCATCATTAGTAATGCGAAATTATCACTCGCAAACGCCAAAAAAAAAAAGATCTACTGCCCATCGCGTGATGTTACGTACTCAAGATTCACCAAACCAATGGACTGGCCATCTGGACCATGCAAAATTTGGAGGCTATGAAAGAGACAAATGAACTACGAGTGCTGATCGGGACTTCAGGGTCCCAGGAAAGAAAAAAAGAAAAAACACATATACTATTCATTGCCCTAAGAAAAAAGAAGAGGAGATTTTTCAGCTTTCAAGAAAGGGAAAGGCTGCGACAGGACGACGCGATATGATAAGGCGAGAAGAAAAAACAAGATCTTTTTTTTATTTTATACTCCCTCCGTCTCTTTTTAAATGCAACCTGAGTTTCCGTGTCCAACTTTGATCATCCATCTTATTTGAAATTATTTTATAATTAGTATTTTTGTTGTTATGAGATGATAAAACATAAATAATATTTTACTCGTGACTTATGTTTTTTATTTTTTTTTAGATTTTTTTTAAATAAGACGAATAATCAAAATTGGATGTGGAAAATCATAGTTGCACTTAATACGAGATCGTGGAAGTATATAAAAAGGAGATATATAACGAGAAGAAAGGGTAAAAGCTAATACTAGTACTAGTACTACGACTTGTCGTTTTCCGCTGCGTGATGATAAGCCAGGGCCTCTGGGCAGTTTACTTCCACTTGAAAACAAAAAAGTGCACCTTTCACGAAACGCTAATAGCTGGGTTAAGCACGGCGAGATGGAGTAAGAAAATTGTTTCCCCCGCGGTGTTCGCGCGCAAGTGGCCCCTGTGCGGTTTTCAGTTTGGTCGCCGGCCGATCCATCCAGTTGATGGCTAAGCTAATCAACTTGAGCGGCGTCTCCGCGACGAACCGATCCATCTTCTTATGCAAATCCTATGCTTACCATATTGTGCTGCATTCACCTGCGCCGTACGACCAAATACTACCAACCGTTTTCCAGTGGCAACGTGAGGCCCCACCTGTCAGCGGCTTGAGAGAAAAATATGATGGTGCCGTATGGCCCACCGGAAGCGCCACATGATAGGGGGGTTCCCGGGGGGGGGGGGGGGGGGGGGTAGTGGACCACCCGGTTGTGTCCAGGTGCACCTAATGCGAAGTACGTACCTGTTGGATTTGGACAGATTCGTTGCAAGATCGATCCGACTCCGGCGCACCGCACATACTGCGGTTGTGTGGTTGTGAGTGTCTCGAACTCAGATTTTATGCGTGTATATATGCTGCTAATCAACACCACGACACCAGGTAGTACGAGATACGTATCTACACAAATCTATCTCCTATATATCTACTTATCTAGTCGGATTTTCAGGTAAAACATGCATGTTTACTCGGCTGTTTCTACTGTGTAGTAGTATTATATTTTTTCTTACACGTAGTTTATTCAATTTACTTATAATAACACTACAGTGACTATATAGTTGTTAAATACTCCGATTGTATATGAGAACGATAGGTGGCGCGAGTCTAAAAAGACACGGCGTAGCAAATGAACTTTACACCTCTGTTTAGAGCAGGTATAATAGTAGACTATTAGCCAGCTATAAATATATTTTAATTAGATAAAAGATGAGAGAGAAGAGTAGTGGGTTACAGATCTGTAGCCAGTTGCAGCACGGACTTCAAGACGCAATGTGTGTATGGCAGGTGGGACTATATATTAATAGTATAGCAAGCAACTATTATATGAATTGGCTATTATATTGACTATAGGTGAATTAGAGTCAGTAATGGGCTATACTATTAAACTTGCTATTAGCGAGATAACTGTGCAGTGCCTTTGGTTCATTTAATTTGATCCCCTCCGTAAGATCAAATTACCCTTCCTATTTTTAGAGTTTGGGACGATATGAGGCAGGCGCGTTCGGAGTGCTACACCTGACATCTTAAATGGAACAGAGACCTGTCATCTTACTACATCTGTTTTCCAAGTAATAATCATTATTCTTGCTGCTTTGGTTAATTGTGCGGTTGTTCTAATGATACCAAATAGTGGTCCGTCTTGGACTTTCTTGCCGCAGAGATCAGGAGAGAAAAAAAAAACAAACAGCTCTGAGCATAACTAGCATGCAGGCATGAGGTGCCATCATCGAATCGGTCGATCGACAAGATCTCGGCATCCATGCTCTTGCCGAGGTGGTTTAGTCGGATATAATAAGCACATAGTGTGTTAAAGATACGGGTTTAATTAGCGCTATCAGCTTACTTAGCATCAAGTGCCAAGTGGGAGTAGTATACCGGAGATACTCTCCCGCGAGACCTGCCTGCCTGTGGCTGGCTGCGAATTGCGTGAGCATCGATCGATCGTGTGTGCGTGTGTGTTGCCCCCGGCGAACCGAGAGCATACAACCCTTTATTATATGCGCTGATGACATGCGAAATGATGTCCAGATGCCGCACTAACGACGAGGATAGATCGGACGGATCCATCCCGGGCGCCGGCGGCCCCCGCTTGCCTCCTGCGCTCGATCGCCCGCCCAATCGCGGGCCCGCTTTCCCGGCCGCAAGAAAAATAATAAAGAAAAAAGGAGTAAAGAACGGACATGTTGCATGTGCGCTGCTACGCGCACACCGCGGCCGCCTGATCACGTCATAAATTGGATGGATGCATGGTTTTTCGCTAATTGTGATGCTCGAATTTTTATTAATCCATCGCATGTACCCCCTCCATCAAAAAAGTTATACCAAGACAAAAAGAAATTAAATCACCTTAGATGTTGCAAAATCAAGGAGTGAATGCAAGCATGCAACCAATAAATATTTAGATGACTCATTAGATTCTAATAAAATATTTATTTTATCTCTTCATTTAAATCTTGAATACATAAAGACTAAAAATAAGAACAACTTATTTGAAAAAACTCAAATGTAAAATAGGTGTAACTTTTATGGATGGAGGGAGTATCTTTTTTTCGAGTAATTGAATCTCATAGGGTCTCAATATCAATAGGCTTGGGGAGTTGGAGGGTGGAGTGAAGATCGCTCAAGTTTCAATACTACAATTATTATAGCAGTGGATTATTTCTCAATATCAATAGGCTTGGGGAGTTGGGGTGAAATGAAGATAGCTCGAGCTTAAATACTACAATTATCATAGCAGTGGATTATCTCCTAAAATTATAATCTTTGTATAAGAGGAGATATTTCTTCAGACTTGATTAAATCGAAATTTATGATTGATATGTATGTCACTAACACTTTTCAAGCTAACATAAGGAATCAATCAGCATATATCAGAATAAGGCATGGAGTCTAATTCTCTAGCACCATACAAATATACTATGCTTTCTTTTGCATAAATGCATATCTTGTTATAAGCAACTAAAATTACTAGACAGCAAAAAAGCCAAACCATGTGATACGGTCACCTTAACTATATTTTTTTTTCTGAAATGCTATGCTCGCAATGTACTCTCTTTGTTTTTAAATGCATGATGTTGTTGTTTTTTAGGTGTTTAGCACAACTCCAGATCAAGATATCTTTTGGTGCTTGGTATATTTTTAGCTCCACAAATCTATATATTTGGATATGTGATTATGTTGATTACATGTGGATGAATCATTTTATTAATTTTTTTAAATAAAATATTATATTCCTTTAAAAAAATAAAATATCATATTTTAAACCACTATAATTTATTATGCAAACTTCAAATTCAACATGAATTTGGGATTCGGAGCTGTACCAAGCAAGCTATTAGACATAATATTGACAATTTGTTGTATTAAAATTTTTTAATGCAAATATGCAAACATATATCTTGTGTTTAAAATATCTTTAGTGATAAAATAAGTCACAACAAAATAAATGATGCTTACACAGTTTTTTTTTATTAAAACGGATGTTCAAACATCATGTTTGAAATACAACATCGTATATTATAAATAGAGATAGTACTTAATTTAGTCCCACGTACATTTAACTATTAACCGGTAAACTCTAATAGTCTATATATGCACCAAAAGTCACATCAACTATAGCCTAGATTCATAGTATATTAGCTGACATGATAATAATCAGCTCTCAACTATTTTGTCTCAAGTAACCATCAAAACTATATATGCCTTTTTCAGTAGTACTATACCGCTGCGAGAGTAAACAAAAAAGATACTACTACTACTACTACAAAGTCACTAAACACCACAACACTACGGCCTTAAGCAACTGAATGTTACTTTACTCCAGGGTGAGCTGAGGCCCTGAAGGTGTAACGATCAACTTGAGCCTTTTCCTGCAACTAACGCCTCACATGGTACACAGCACAGCAGCAGCAGCTGCGATTGCCATCCCGGCCACCTCCAAAGGCTTTAGCCGGCGGGGGACAAAGGGCGGCCCACCCCCTGCGTGCGCCAAGCAATTTGGCCGCCTGACCCCGTGCCGACGTGGCCCGGCATCCCCTAGCTGGATCCCGCAGAAGTAAACGCCCGCCTCCTCCCCCAATCCCCATCTCCTCTCCACTCTTCTTCTCCCTCCAATAATTCTCTCCCCTCTCCTCCTCTTCACCACCACCACCACCACCAGCAGCAGCAGAGAGCACCATCTCCATCCAATAATCCCCATGCTTGCGCACCACTCCCGGCCACATCCCGCGCGAGGAGGAGGAGGAGGAGGAGGGTGTGCTTGATCCGCGCTCCCGCCTGGTTGGTGGTGGTGGGGTGAGGGGGGAGGGATGGGAGGGGAGGCACCGGAGGCGCGGCGGTTGGACCGCGCGATGAGCTTCGGCGGCGCGGGCAGCATCCCGGAGGAGGCGCTGCACCTGGTGCTGGGGTACGTGGACGACCCGCGGGACAGGGAGGCGGTGTCGCTCGTGTGCCGCCGCTGGCACCGCATCGACGCGCTCACGCGGAAGCACGTCACCGTGCCCTTCTGCTACGCCGCGTCGCCCGCGCACCTGCTCGCGCGGTTCCCGCGGCTGGAGTCGCTCGCGGTCAAGGGGAAGCCGCGCGCCGCCATGTACGGGCTCATCCCGGAGGACTGGGGCGCCTACGCGCGCCCCTGGGTCGCCGAGCTCGCCGCGCCGCTCGAGTGCCTCAAGGCGCTCCACCTGCGCCGCATGGTCGTCACCGACGACGACCTCGCCGCGCTCGTCCGCGCCCGCGGCCACATGCTGCAGGAGCTCAAGCTCGACAAGTGCTCCGGCTTCTCCACCGACGCTCTCCGCCTCGTCGCCCGCTCCTGCAGGTAACTGAGATTGCTGCCCAACTCCTTTTTGGCTCTGATCTGGCATCTGGGAGTGGGAGAGGTGAGCTCGGATTGGGGGTTGGGGATTACCGGATTTGGGAGATAGCGACTCGGTGAAGAACTGAGCCGCTGTTTTGTTGATGCCCTGAAGTGGTTTGGTGGATAGCACCGAACCAAGCATCAGTTTCCGCGAATAGAATTTTTGTCTTAACAGGGTAAGAGTTTTGCCCAAAAAAAACTGCGTCCAGATCTGCATGGTCACAGTTCAATTGTGACTATTTAGCACCCATAAGTTAAATTCGTTCCCCTTTAGCCACTTAATTTTTTTATTATGCTAACTCTAATTGTCATACTTTAGCTCACTGGTAATAGCGTGGTGAGATCACTTCACTAACATGTTGCACTAAATTTCACAGATCACTGAGAACATTATTTCTGGAGGAATGCTCAATTGCTGATAATGGTACTGAATGGCTCCACGACCTTGCTGTCAACAATCCTGTTCTGGAGACATTGAACTTCCACATGACCGAACTCACAGTGGTGCCAGCTGACCTGGAGCTTCTCGCAAAGAAGTGCAAGTCACTAATTTCATTGAAGATCAGTGACTGTGACTTTTCAGATTTAATTGGATTTTTCCGGATGGCTGCATCATTGCAAGAGTTTGCGGGAGGGGCATTCATTGAGCAAGGGGAGCTCACTAAGTATGGAAATGTTAAATTCCCTTCAAGACTGTGCTCCTTAGGACTTACGTACATGGGGACAAACGAGATGCCCATTATCTTCCCTTTCTCTGCATTACTCAAGAAGCTGGACTTGCAGTACACTTTTCTCACCACTGAAGATCACTGCCAACTCATTGCAAAATGTCCCAACTTACTAGTTCTTGCGGTAATGTCTCCTTTATATATGCATTATGAAGATATTCAATTTATTAGTTAACCTATGACATGGTAACTAACATTGTAAATGCAATCTACAGGTGAGGAATGTGATTGGAGATAGAGGATTAGGGGTTGTTGCAGACACATGCAAGAAGCTACAAAGACTCAGAGTTGAGCGAGGAGATGATGATCCAGGTTTGCAAGAAGAACAAGGAGGAGTCTCTCAAGTCGGGTTGACAACTGTAGCCGTAGGATGCCGTGAACTGGAATACATAGCTGCCTATGTGTCTGATATCACAAATGGGGCCCTGGAGTCTATTGGGACTTTCTGCAAAAATCTTTGCGACTTCCGTCTTGTCCTACTCGATAGAGAAGAGAGGATAACAGATTTGCCCTTAGACAATGGTGTCCGTGCACTGCTGAGGGGCTGCACGAAACTTCGGAGGTTTGCTCTATACTTGAGACCAGGGGGACTTTCAGATACAGGCCTTGGCTATATTGGACAGTACAGTGGAATTATCCAATACATGCTTCTGGGTAATGTTGGGGAAACAGATGATGGTCTGATCCGGTTTGCATTGGGGTGTGAGAACCTGCGGAAGCTTGAGCTAAGGAGTTGTTGCTTCAGTGAGCAAGCTTTAGCCCGCGCTATACGGAGTATGCCTTCCCTGAGATACGTGTGGGTACAGGGCTACAAGGCTTCTAAGACTGGTCACGATCTCATGCTCATGGCCAGGCCCTTCTGGAACATAGAGTTTACACCTCCCAGTTCTGAGAATGCAAATCGAATGAGAGAAGATGGTGAACCTTGTGTAGATAGTCAAGCTCAGATACTTGCATACTACTCCCTTGCCGGGAAGAGGTCGGACTGCCCACGATCTGTGGTTCCTTTGTATCCTGCGTGACTGTAAATACCGATATGGTATCTCTCTGCTTCGTTCTTGCCTCTTGCCTTTTTTGGGTGATATGTTGATATGTGGTTATTGTATGGGTCTAGAACTCTAGATGGCTAGCTGCTATGTACCGTAATAAGCTACTGGTAGCTGAGATGTACTGGAATAAGCACTTCTATTTCCCACTCTACTACTATCTAATCCTAGGAAGATGTATACTAAGGAACACTCTGTGCCACTACTCCTTGCTTGTTCATGCTCCCGTCCTGGTTTGTTACCATTGGAGGTATAAGAATACCTGGTTTTGGCAGTCCTTAAGATCTTGTTCCTTGTACATAAATGCTCCCAAACCGTAGGGGAAACTTATCAGGTGAGTTTATGTGCTGAGAATTTTGTATCAACCATTGGTGGTCCTGGTTCTGGAAACTACTTTAAGACGTTGTTTGTCTTATAGAATTGCTGGTTTGGTAAGTGGAATGTTGCATAATACTATATGAGATTGAGCTGATTGTATAACCTATGAACGCTGTGGGAACAGAATGATATGATCCGCCCTCCCCTGTTATAAAACTATGGCTATATAAAACGGAGGTGCATATGGGAGCAGTAGCAATGGCACAAGCGGCAATTACAAGTTCACAACTTGCAATGCCAATGCGACATTTCTTAGCTGGAAACCAAGGCCACCAAAGTGGTTCTCCCATCATGCTAGGGGGCCCTCGCGTATGCAGTCTCACTGTCAACTGCAGCATGGCGGAGTCACTACGCCATGAACGCGACAAACACATCGCCGGACCAAAAAAGAGCGGAAGTCCTACACAACAGCGGCATGGAGCCGCATTGTCATGCAGTCTGGGATGACTGGGAGTAGTAGCAAACAAAAAGCGTAGGATAGTGTCTGCGTCTCGCTATATAACAAGTGGGGGGTATCGAAACCGACCTCGCGGAGAAGAGGGTTCCATGCATGCACGCCATGCAATCAGTCGCCAGTCAGCATGTTCGTATGCTCTGGTACTTCTACGAAGAAATTCATTAACAAAATCGTCCGTGCAAATTGTGGGGGTGAAAGAAATTAGGGGGGAAATGCACACGCGTCCACAAGTTGGGCCATGCTACTGTACTGGATTTCTACCATATGAATCAGTCTCCCCATGTGGCTAAGCATCATTCCAGGATAAGCAAGCGAGTGAGATCCAGACATCCATGGACTGTTGGAGCAAGTTCATCTCTGTGCAGGCCACATGGTTACAGCTTGCAAACTGAAGCAGTATATTACTTTACCTTGACATTTTCCGGGATGCAGATCGATGCATCATTCCCAATTTCACGAACGGACAAGAACCGTGATGACGATGGACGGTTGTGCAATTTGAAACCGTTCATTAGGCTGGAGAATTGGAGATCATCCCTTCCTTCAAAGCATGATGAGTCCTTTTCAAAGTGATACACGTTTGGCCACCGATATGAATCATGAATCTTACAAAATTTATAGCGGAACAGAGGCACCTCCAAAGTTCAGTTATTTCTCGGTTAATCAAATGGCTCACAAAATTCATGTGACATTGCACACTGAGTTTATGTTTCATTCACATGTTTGACAAGAAAAGTTGGGTGAAGATAAGCATTGACTGAACAACATGTAAAGTTTAAAGTACATGCCCCCAATATTGAGGTAATCTTCTTTATTTGACTCAAAAAGTCAAAATATTATATAGAAGGAATGTGATCTTTCCAAAAAAAAAAAGGAAGCATGACAAAGACTCGTTATTTCAACTAACATTTAGAAAGTTCGTTTTACAAAAGAATAGCATCTAGTTGTTAAAAAATATTTGTTGTTATCCTTATTATTATTGTTGATGTTGCTATATATTATTGAAAAGAATGTTACATGTTCCATCGTTTGTCTTTCAGCTTATAAGCAGTTGATAGAATTTGAATTTTAAAACTCAAATTTGAAGTTACTTTTGAGGGTTTTTTTTATCATAATTTACTTTTTAACATCGGCAAGGATACATAAATAAAAGTTTTATCTACACAATATTTTCTATCACTAATAAGCTGTTACAGCTAATAATTAGTTGCAGTTGTCGGCTTTAACCAACTTCGAACCCTACAGTCTGGGGTATTAGGATGGCGAAGGTGACTAATGAATCGAGAACACCTACAAGTTGGGTGTGTTGGGTGTGGACTAAGAGGCGTGAGGCTTCAAATAATTCTACATGTCTACCACAACGTGACATTGATTTTTTCTTTAATACCAAAATACATACTATTCTGACTAATGATCTACTCATTTGGAAATAGTCAGGCATAGGAATGAAAAAGGACCAAATAATATCGCCTCCGAACCAGATTACAGACTTGTCAGAATTATCCAAAATCTAGTGATGTGAGATATTCCAATAATCCAAAGGACTTGGATTATTCAATATTCTTTTCGGATAAACCAGCAATCATTTATTTAGTTTTTCTGATGTTTGATTTACTACCACAATTTATCTCAATAACTCAAGTTAGACAAATTTGACCGAGTTAGATGATCTTTTGGTTTGTGCTAAACTAGTGATAAGATTCCTTCATTATCACATGGGTTTCACACATGTCATTGATATATAAAAGTGTGGCGAGGGTACTTCCTTCTAGCTAAAGTGTGGTTTTAATTTTATTGGTCACATGTTAGATATGTTTGCTTAAGAGAATGTATGACAAACCTCGATAATTTGAGTACATCAACCAAACGGGCAATAGTCCAATACAATTAAGCCGAACATCAGCTTCCCAAGCAAAGGCTATGGCCTAATTGGGTAGCCCATCCTACACCATTCTTCTATGTGTGAGTTGTTGCCTCATTTCACTCAATGGACCAATATATTCTCTACACATTATGTAACAATCCATGCACGTGTTGTAGGGTTGTCAAAAAAGCTCGGGGCTCGCGAGCTGCTCGAGTTCGACTCGTCCAAGGCTCGATTCGAGCTCGGCTCGAGTTCCAAACGAGCCGAGCCCGAGCCTGTCCCAAAGCTCGCGAGCTTTGTCGAGCCGAGCTCGAGCTTCTAACGAGCCTAGTAATATATGATTTTTGTTGCTATTTAATGAATTGGAAGATCAAATATATTATTTGTATATCTTGTATTGGCATCATATATTTATTTTATTCTTTTTCCTCTTCTACTAATATGATGAACCCTATATTAATTGTTTTTTAAAAATTATCCTTTGAAATATACACTGTTCTAATTGAAAATCAAGCTCGGTAGTCGAGCTCGAACCGAGCCTGTTTGAAAGCTCGAGCATTTTATAGGCTCGGTTTGAGCTCGACTCGTTGACAGCCCTAACGTCTTGTACCAAGGTCCAAAGATAACGAGCTAACTTGGCTCGGTTCGTTATTCTAATGAGTGAAACCCAGCTTGGCTTGACTCATTGCAAAGCTCGAGGTGGCTTGTTTGGCTCACGAGCCAATGCATCCAAACCAGCAAACCACTACTAACCTAGTAAGTTTGCCATGGAAACACAGGTTATACAAATTAAGTTCTAGTTAAGTAAACCGTGTTCTTGTTGAACACCGAGCGGCCTTGCAGGGGACGACAGAGGACGACGTGGATGGAATCTTTGAAGTGACGTCTCGAATCCACGCGTCATGTCACTGCACTGTGAGGCCCTTCATAGTGCGACGACGTGTCGTGTGGCTCAATCGTGCCAACACAAAGATTCGCTGACACGTCGACCACCTGCGCATCCCATCTGAGCCGCTCAGCCCTTTACTGCGTTACGCGTTCCTCACCCGCGCCCGCATTGCCAAGCCTGTGCCCCCGCGTCGTCGTCCCCTCACCTTTCATGCAGAAGGATTCCCGAAAATCACCCTCCCTGTGCCACCGATTTCTCCCTCCCGCGCTCGCCTTTGCTCGCTCCCGCCTTCGCTCGCTCCCGCCTTCTGCGCTAGCCTTTGCTCACTCCCAGAAAAAATCAGATTGATGCAACAACATCAACTGAAACAGAAAAAAACAGAGTACTCAATCAGATCCAATACCTTGGATGCCGGAGTTGCAGGTGGAGCTTGAGCAGCTGGTTGTGCATGTGGAGCTGGAGCAAGCGCTAGTGAAGGTAGACGTGGAGCCAACACTCTCCGACGCTGCATCTGGAGCTCTTCGTCGGAGTCGAGGACAACCTAGCACTGCGGCATGAGCTTCCTGCGATTCCCCCTCGAGCTCTCACCCCTTTCCTTCGCCCCAAACCCCGTGTCGCCCTTGCTAACCTCGACGGGATAGCCTAGGTTACCATGCTGGTCTGGAGCTTTATCACCAGAAACAGGCACCGTGGAGCTTGTGCTTGAGCTGGTGGCGCAAGGTAGTTGGCGATGTGGTGCCGTGTTGTGGGAGGCGAAGCGTCGTTTCTCGTATTAGAGACGATGTATCTTGGTCAACGGAAAGGGCAATTAGGGGAAATTAAGTCTCTTTTCGTTAGGCTAGGGATCTAGCTATTTGTGCTTCATCACGTGCACCATTCAAAAGTGGGCTACGTGGCCTTATATGTTGCTTGCCCTGATTCAAAAGTGGGCTATGTGGCCTTACATGTTGCTTGCCCTGATTAACCATTCAAAAGTGGGCTATGTGGCCTTACATGTTGCTTGCCCTGACTAACCATTCAAAAGAGGACACAAGCACTGTAGAGTGGATGACCTATTTCAGTTCGTTTGTTTGTCGACGCTAAGGTAAGTGTATTTGGCAGCATCGAACGTGCTAGCGACACGCATAGCGTGCCCTGCTATTGGCCTGAAGGTCCTAACGAGGCTCAAGCTTTTCGTCCACCGGTAGCTCCAATCGATCTGTTTCGCTTTGCTTCCGTCAGCCACCGAATTTGTTTGCCTCTCTCAGCATCAGCCAAGCGTCTGCCCTCGGTTCGTCACAAGGTCACATTCTTCATTCACGATAGGGCTGGCCGGCCGGGGACCTCTGTGTGTGTGGACGGGTCACGTCTCGTGTACCACGCGGTGCTTGGCCTTGTTTGGAATATTTGAAACGGAAATCCCGAGGTGGCGCGAGGCAAGCAAACATCCCCCACTCGAACAAGGGAGGGGATCAGACGATCAGTAGAGAGCCGAGCAACGCCCACAATCTCGCGAATCCGCTTCACCCGGCATGGCAGCGGCGGCGCTGTACAAGGACGCGGCGGCGCCGGTGGAGGCGCGGGTGCGCGACCTGCTGGGCCGCATGACGCTGCGGGAGAAGGCGGCGCAGATGGCCCAGATCGAGCGCACCGTCGCGTCGCCCCGCGCCATCGCCGAGCTCGGCGCCGGCAGCGTCCTCAACGGCGGCGGGAGCGCCCCGCTCCCCCGCGCCTCCGCCGCCGACTGGGCCCGCATGGTCGACGGCATGCAGCGCCACGCCCTCTCCTCCCGCCTCGCCGTCCCCATCCTCTACGGCACCGACGCCGTCCACGGCCACAACAACGTCTACGGCGCCACCGTCTTCCCCCACAACGTCGGCCTCGGCGCCACCAGGTTAATCCGCCTCCTCCATGTTCCCCCCACTTTTTGGTGTTCGGTTTGGTTTGACAATCCAACCAATCCGTATGCCTTTGAGGCTTTGACCTCCCAGGGACGCGGAGCTCGCGCGTAAGATCGGCGAGGCGACGGCGCTCGAGGTCCGAGCTACCGGCATCCACTGGACCTTCGCGCCCTGCGTCGCCGTGAGTAGAACTCCAAAACTATCCGGATTAACCGATGTTGTTTGTTTGGGATCCATCCTTGATGCGTGTGTGTTCTGGTGGCGCAATGCGTGATAGGTTTGTAGGGATCCGAGGTGGGGGAGGTGCTACGAGTGCTACAGCGAGGACACAGAGGTCGTGCGCTCGTTGACCACCATCGTCTCCGGCCTGCAGGGGCAGCCACCGGCTGACCACCCTCATGGTTACCCGTTCCTCTCATCCCCTAGGTAGTTATAAACAGTGGGATTCACTGCGGTTTTGGTATAACCCACAACCTGTTTGTGTAAATGGGCCTATGTGGTTTTGCAGGGTGAATGTGCTTGCTTGCGCCAAGCATTTCGTTGGGGATGGTGGCACGGACAAGGGGATCAATGAGGGAAACACCATTTGCTCACTTGAAGATTTGGAAGGGATCCATATCAGACCTTATCCTGATTGTATATCTCAAGGGGTGGCAACTGTCATGGCGTCCTACACCCAATGGAACGGGGAACCATTGCACGCAAGCCGCTATTTGCTGACAGATGTTTTAAAGGGCAAGTTAGGCTTCAAGGTAGTAGAGACTATGGAAATTGTTTACTTGCACTATCACCCAAAAAAAAACAAAAGAAAAAGATTATGAAAGTTGGTTGGCATTTTATCATGTACTCTTAGGTTGTGGCTGTGAATTAACATGTATAAGCTCTTGTTTCAGGGTTTTGTGGTGTCAGATTGGGAGGGTATTGACAGGCTCTGTGAGCCCAGAGGTTCTGATTATCGCTATTGCATCGCGCAGTCTGTTAATGCAGGAATGGATATGGTATTTATTTAGTTATTAAGTGGTCATATGAAACACATTCTCCAGTTTGTTTCATTTGTTGAATAATCTGCAGATTATGATACCTTTCAGATTTGAGAAGTTTTTGGAAGATCTTGTGTTCTTGGTAGAGGCAGGGGAGATACCAATGTCACGGATTGATGATGCTGTTGAGCGGATTCTGAGGGTTAAGTTCATATCCGGAGTGTTCGAGCATCCATTTTCAGATCCGTCTCTAGCAGATATAATTGGTTGTAAGGTGGCATGCATGTTTTGATGTTCTATTTGTTCTTCTGTTTGAATTGTCTCACACTGGATAGCTCCAACATATATATGCATGTTGATCTTTTAGGAGCATCGGTTGCTGGCACGTGAGGCTGTTCGGAAGTCTTTAGTACTTCTAAAAAATGGCAAGAATCAGAAGGAACCATTCCTTCCATTGGCCAAAAATGTGAAAAGAATACTTGTAGCTGGAACACATTCTGACAATATTGGATATCAGTGTGGTGGGTGGACAATAGCTTGGAATGGAGACAGTGGAAGAATTACTATTGGTAAGCACTAAGCGAAAACCCAGCTATAACATATACTCCGTATTTTGTATGTGTGAAATATTTATGTTGCCCACTTCAATACTCCGTGCTGTTTTTGTACCATTGGCCAATGTCGCATTCGATAATATATGGTCTGGTGCTATTTTCTAGGGTAGTGCTTGGCACTTCGATAGTACAATAATTTTCATACTTTCATATTTTGGTAGCTTTACTGCCCTATCTGCAAGCAGAAATAAAAATTGTGAGGTTAAGCCGTTGAGTTGGAGTTACCACTTTCTAATTCTTCTCTTTTGATTTTAGAATGACATTGGTACTGAGTTAACTGTTTCTCTTTTGATTTTTTTCCCCTGAAAGAAACTAGTTTTCTAATTAGTTACTGATAATTTACACTTTACAGTCCACTTTAACTGGTGGGATGCATACAGCTGGGAAGTATGACCAGCGGATTTTTCTTTTCCTTTTTAAGATGCATCACCATCTATCCTTGGAATTAGAAAACAATAAAACCTAGTTTCTTTATATGACGCACTCAATATTATTTTTAAAAGCATCTATATTTTGTATCTAAAACAACAGGTACAACCATATTGGAAGCTATAAAAGAATCCGTGGGAGCAGAAACTGAAGTTGTGTATGAGGAATGCCCAACAGAAGCCACAGTTGAAACTGGGGAATTTTCCTATGCAGTTGTTGTGGTTGGTGAGGTTCCATACGCTGAATGGTTGGGAGATAGAACGGATCTTAGTATTCCATTTAACGGCTCCGACCTTATTTCTCGTATTGCTAGTAAAGTCCCTACCCTAGTTGTGGTTATATCTGGAAGACCATTGGTTGTTGAACCCCAAGTTCTGGACAAGGTAGATGCTCTTGTTGCTGCCTGGCTACCTGGAAGTGAGGGTATGGGAGTTACTGATTGCCTCTTTGGGGATCATGATTTTTTGGGTACATTGCCCGTGACATGGTTTAGGTCTACTGATCAATTGCCTATAAATGCTAGAGATGCTAGTGATGACCCATTATTCCCTTTTGGGTATGGGTTGAAAATGTTCCGAGGTGATTAAGTTTTTAGCATTAATCATTGTTGGTTCGGTTATACATTTGAATGCTTATATGAATCTTACACACGCTGTACCAGTTGGCTTTTTGAATAATGTAAAAGAGAAATAATGTCATGTTTCAGTATTGCAGGTGTGCTGTAAGGTGTAAAGCTTGATTCTTATATTTTTCATAGAGGTTTTAGTTACTCCTTTTCATTACTTGTCTATGTTACTAGTTGAATTTCAGATATGTTTCAATTTTGTCTTGCTTATTTGCTTGGACTACTTTGTTTTTGTTTTGCACATTCAAATTCGTGCTGAAGGCAGATCAACTATTAACAACAGAATAGGCCAAGCGATGATTGGGCCATTCGTCGTGTCACTGAAATCAGTATATCAGAAGTTGAAACTTCAGGTGATAAATTGGTGCATTTTTATGCATGGTTTACTGATGGAATGAATACAGTAAACAGACTGGTTACTCTGAATGATATTTCTGAGCACTTGGCTGAAGCCATTTGCTCGGGGTTTCCTTTATGGACAAACTAAGCACATTGAAGTGGATTCATGATGTAGTAATTCACTGGAACAAAATGATTCAGATAAATAAGGTCCTTCAATTATCAGTCCTTTCTGATGAGGAAGTCATATTACTACTAGGTGGAGGCTCATTTCTGAAAATATATTCAAGTTCTCTAGGTTTGCCATACTGCTAAGGGCCATGTTCTGCACGTATCACTAACCGTTGCGTATTTGAAATCTGATCTAGATTTAAACAGTGGGCAGCTTTTTTCCTCATATTGTGTTTTGTCATGCAACAGAAAGGTGTCTTAGGGGAGGAGGCAATATGTAAGGATTGAGGTATAGAGAGTTGAGTATAGAGATGGTATGCATGCTTAATTATTCAGGTCAAATCTTGGCCACTTCTGGCATATCATTATTGCTGTTTCATGGAAAATGTTATCAGCAACAGTGCTCCATGGAATGATACTATTGCTGGAGATCGGAGGCATAGATCTTACTTGGTTAACATACTGAAGTTTGACTCCGGTTCTTGCTGTGATATTGATGGCCTTTACCTGGAATGACAGTGCCTCATGACTTGGGAAAGGAGGCTCAAATTTCTGCCTTGATAACACCCCCCCCCCCTCTCTTATAAGTAATTATATGAAGCATTTGCATGTCAAGTTTCATAATGCTTATGCTTGGATTCCTTTTGCTGCTATTATATAGTATAGTAATTCGTTGCAATCCTTAAGTCAATTAAATACATGTAAGCAAAGTGAGTACATTTAGGCTTAGGAAATATTCATGATTCCTGCAGAATATTGAACTGTTCTCTATGAAATTATGTAAATTCCTGCGTTCCACACAGAATATATAAAGTTGTTTTCCAAATATATATGCTTGATAACTCCAAATACCTCAGATGGTTTTAATTCCATGATAACTCCATGAGAGCCTGAGAAACATATTATTCATAGCTTGTATAATGGCTACGAGAGTACAATCGATTACTAACAGACAGCATGATGCATTTTCTTTTCTTTCTGAAAGTTCCATCGCCCACCATGGCACTCACTGGCCAAGCTGGTCCTTTATGGACTTGAAGTGATGCTGATGAATTTGAACAGATTCCTTTCTTGGAGATTCATACTCAAACAAAAAAAAAAGCAGTGTTTACTGCTGGATTTTCTTTTAAATGTTTCCATCAAACATGCGTTGGAAGGGGAAAGGATATATTTCCTGGCACTAAACGTTTTGTCTGCTAACAATGTAATTTGAAAATCCATTGTTCTCTTGATGATTTTTTTTACGATAAAGTATGCTATTTGAAGCTACCGTTTGCAACAGTTTCGGATGCATTTTTTTACATATAAGACAAAATACCCATAAAACTGTTGCTACCTTTTCTTTCACAGAAAATTAGGGTAAGCCTGCTGCATGGATTGAAGTTTTGAGCAGTTTGTGGATGACATCCAATTGCTAGCTTAATCAATGCTGCATCTCAAAGAATACTGATGTGAAGATTCTTGCAAGAGTCTTGGAGCACCCATGCTCTTGTACATCTCTTAATGCAAATACTCATGTGGTAAACTCTTTTAGATGGTTTATTATTTGGTCAGTGACCCAGTGTTGTTCTTTTCCCATGTATTATGTTTTTAGCTAAGAGTGGATTTATAAGCTGTAAGAAGCATGTGATAAAAAAAATTACATGTGAAATTCAATTACCAAAACTCATTCAGAAACTGTCTTCTGTTTTGCCAAAACATAATGAACTTTCTATCTATACCCTAACTGTATAAATCGTCTATGCTGTTATATTTCGTTTAAAGAACCCTTTGAGAAATGCAAAGGCAATCCTGTTAAGTTTGTTTGCTTCTAGTACATTATATTAGTGTAGTCCGTATTTGATCACCTTGTGCCAGGTTCTCTGATAAGTGATGACTAGTTTTTTTTTGCACCTTCTATTGATTAGCCTGGCTAAAATATGCGTGTCCCTGAAGTAGAACTGATGGAGATATGGAAGGGAGTGAGGCGATCTGGATCTGCTATGGTCCAAATGCTGTTGAAAACTTAAAATCTCCTTGTTTTCGTTTTGCATATATGACGTGAGCACAGCTTTGGAATTACTGGTAAGGATTTCAGTTCTTTTCTGAAATCATTAAGTATGAAATATCTGTTTTGAGGTCTGAAGTTTATAAGACTGCATGGCAAGAGATACAGGAAATGTAGTGACATGACAAAAAGGGAAATAGAAAGCATGAATTATGTTGATGAAAATGAAATTTCTGTTACAACAGGATCTTACGATACAGAATATCTAGTAAATCTAAGAGAAAGAGCATCACTTCCTTTTGCATTCAAGTGAAAGTTCAAAGCCCTGAGACAAGCACCATGATCTGATCTGTGGTCCAGTAATGATTTTACTTTAGATCTTTGCAAGAAGTGAAACTTCTATGGCCTGCCCATCAATTAAAGGGGCCACTAGAGCAGATAAGCTTCAGGGGCTATTTAGTGATTGGCAACCAACAAGTTAATATTGCCTAACTTTATTGAAAAAAAAATCTAAGTTGTTAGATATTTTTCCGTTGCTACGTACGTACAGTGGTTATTTCCTTTTAACTGAACAACCTTGTATTTTAAATTATTAGAAACTGCTCACAAAAATGTTTAGGGCATCTCATTAAGGATTACCTCCAAGTTCACATGGAGGACATTTTAAAATTTTAATTATCCAGCATTTCTTCCTCTCTTTTTTTATTGTTAAGTTTTAAGTGGCTTTCTTTTAAGTTCTTTAGGCTTTACTTCCTCAGTCCAAAAAAAAAAAGTACTCTAACTTCTGGGGATAAATCTGAAGGGCGTAGATCTATTCTACTGTTTCAATTTCACATGGAGGATTAAAATTACTGTGCGTCAACTATCTCGCCGTAAGATACTGTTGAGAGAAACAGGTATTGTTTCACCTGCATTTATATCACAAGCAATTGTCTTTCTTTTCACAAGTGTTTTTCTCTCCTTTCAAGCTGGTGGCATGTGCCCATTATTGAGCCATCCATCTCCGCTCTCCTCTCTTGCATGTGCAGCACCTCCGGTTTTTTAACTTGTGCATAAAATAATTTCGATGGATGGTCCCTCTTCCATCTCCCTTAGCACAAACATCAGTGCATGTGAGATGTGACACCTCCATGTTTACAATTTTTACAGGCACGCTCGGTATTATCTGTTCCTGCCAAAGAAATAAATCTGGAGAAAACTGATTACCGAGATGCAGCCGGAGAGAAGAAGAGCACCCATACGCATCCACTGTTAGATTCAAAGGCAGGGGGGCACAGGTACGTATTGTAATGGTCGCAGTTGGGGAGGGTGGTCCGTCCCCTACGGGGTTGATGGCTACCTGCTGCTTGAATGGCCCTGTTGGTTTTGAACGCCTCTTGATGCTGCGTTGGAGTCACGACCAGTGTGTGTGTCCCTGTACAGGAGAAGCGACGCTGATGCTCTCGGTCAATTTGGTCCGTCCCGTGGCGATAACGATGCCCACAGCCGCAGCCGCAGGGGCAGAGGCAGAGGGCATCTCGTCTCGTCTCACCCATGACGTCGTCCCGTCGCAGAGCCATCAGTTCAGTTGTTGCTGGGTTCCCATCCTTCCTGCCGCTCATCGAGAGATGCAGGATGCTGACGCGGCTGCTGTGCTGATCCTGTTCACTTGCCTCTGCAGCTTTGCACTGATCCACATCGATGATAATACTACTCCTATTTGGTCATTTGGTGTGCAAGTGCAGCAACAACTTGGCGTTTCACAAAAAGGTATGTCACGTTCACGAACCTGCATGTTCTTGGAGAATGTATATTTTTGTACTGGTAGTAGTTGTTGTGTACTGATCAAGCAAGGTGTGAGGCCGTACGCTGGCACGTAGTAGAGTGGATGAGGAGAGTATTCTGATCGTAGTGGGGGGGTTGGGGGGGGGGGGTAAACTACTCACGGCCTCCTGCCGGGAAACTACACCTACCCGGTGGTCCAATAATCCCCCGTAATATGTTACGTGATGGTCGGTATTAGAGCTCATTTGTTTACTGCATGCGCATCGACCAGCTCTGCCCCCACTGGCTGTGTCAAGTGTCAGCTACGCCAAAAACGTGAGCTCTTTTTTTTTGCTCCAAGTGCGGGGTTAGCTATACCTACTTAGTCTGATCTAAGCACACTTTTCTACCAAATCTAGCCAATGGATACTTGGGCCTTCCCTTCATTTTGGAAAAAGTAAAGTAAGTGGCCAACCTTTTTATATTGAAAGGTTTTGATGAGGCGAATTTGGATGACATGAATCCAAAAGCATAATCTAGGAAAAAAAACAGAATGAACCATTAGAGCGCCACGACTTGTTGAACAGGATTACAAAATCGTGTGAATTGTAACAAAAGAAGGGTTTGGAGTTCGTATTAGGGAGTGAGGACTTTTATACATACTGTCAGTACAAACAAAGACACTTCAAAAATTTGCCACAAAATTGAAAAGGCCAAGTGGCAGCGCGGCATGCTCGTGGTGGCTAGCAGCCGTGGCACGCCTAGCGTTGTTTCATTGTATGTTATGAATTCATCCGAGTTAGGAAGACAATTTTATCTCTTTTAATTTTATACAATCTAATTTAAGTGGAATACCAAATCACTCTAAATCTTTGGACCGTTTATATTAGTATTATATACTGCCGATAAATTGTACTGATAAAAGTATTTTTATTTGTTGCTCTAAATCTTTCGACTGTATTTGCTGGCTGCACTAGTGGTGCACCGGTGCTGAGCGCTGACACGGTTTTTCTGTTCTCTTTGCTTTGAGCTGTGAAGTTCCCCTTTTCCTCCCATAATGATATGCTTTGCCTGTATTGGGAGCAGCAAATCTTTGTGGTCCGACGTGAGAAAGAAGGGAGACGGAATCTCGAATCTCTGCAACCAGCCTCTCTACCTCTAGTCCCGGCTCAATTATACGCCCATTTGCAGAGTAGCCCCCAGGAATCTCAACACTTGCTACTCGTGCAACGCAAAGGCTTTTACCGACGCCTACACCTGTTGATGCCCTCCCCCCAAAAAGCGCCGTGATGTCGATGCGTTGCGGCCTGTTCCAGTTTTCCCCCAATGGCAGCTCGGCAACGCCGAGATCACTCAACAGCACTAGCGGTATCCAAGCCACAGCTTTCAGTCTTTCACGCGGTGCGTGGAGGAGTTGATCATCTGCACTCTGCAGCACAACAGGTGTTGCACAGTTGCAGTAGCTGGATATCACCCGATCAGGTGCGCAATTGAACTCCCATCCCCTAACGCCATAATTTCAATCCCTAACAAAGTTTATGTTACAATGTTCTACTCCAATATATAAAGTTGCTACCGTTTGTCAATTCCTAAGGAGGAAGAAAAATAAACTAAGATAGAGGATAGAGCGAGGCTAGCAAATATTCCATACATCCTAGAATGTAAAAAACTTTTAACATTTAAAATTTATCTCAAAGTATAACAATTTATCTTTCTACTTCACTCTTTAAATAAATTACAACCATCTAATATTTATTTATGTAACATTTACTTCCTCATTTTAACCAATTATAACCATCATTTATTTAATTTTATCTATTTTTAAATAACCATGCTACCCACTAAACTTCTTATATTTTAGGAAAAGGGAATAATTGTTTTGTTTTCTACTAAGTAGAAGAAAAAAAAAGGAAAAGCACAGGATGTCGCCCACTTTGCTTGTGTTGGATTGCATGCATCTTTCGCTCCTGCCCGCCTGCTTGTCCTAGGGGGCCCACTTGCAGCCCCACAGCTGCAAGTTGCCGTATTATGGTCCTTGGCCTGCACTATGCTGGAACCAATAATACCAAATGTATACTAATAATATACTAGTACACTCCTGCTGCCCTACGTAGTAACGTTTAGCAATAGTAGCATAGTACGCCCCCCCCCCCCCCTCCCCATTGACAGGCAACAATACAGGGAGGGTAGACTAAAATATGATCAAAACGGTTTGCAGCGAAAGGGACACCAACTAGCACACAAGATTTCATCAGAGCCTGTCTATCCTCGTGTTCTTGTGAATTGTGGTGAAGAGGCCTTAGCACTGAGTAAGGGTTTGCCTTACCGCCGCTAACCGCGAGGTACGGTAATATAAATACCGCAGTAACCTCTTTAAATTCAAATAAATTTTAAAAATAATTTAAATTTTTGATAACCCATAACGTCATCGTTTCACCCATGTCGGGTATAGGGTACGGTCATTGGTGCTTAGTGAAGTTGCCCTGCGCTCATGCCATTCGGCATTCCAGCTTAGCTTGACACAAGTGATCCCTGAAAGAGTGATGAAAGGGTTCCAATTCGTACCGCTAAGTTCCTGCCTTTTCACTCGAAAAAAATATTCGGATAGGAGTATACTATTTCTTCTTAATACCATTGATACTTCCACTACCGTTCTCATCTAAAATATTCCCTCCGGTCCTAAATATTTGACGCCATTGATTTTTTTTAAATAGGTTTGACCGTTCATCTCATTTAAAAAATTTAAGTAATTATTAATTCTTTTTCTATCATTTGATTCTTTGTTAAATATACCTTTACGTATACATGTAATTTTACATATTTCACAAAAGTTTTTGAATAAGTCGAACGGTCAAACATATATAAAAAAAATTAATGGCGTCAAATATTTAGGGACAGAGAGAGTACATCCTCAACTTGAAAATACAACCGATTAATTTTCACATGAATAGAAAATATATCATGATGAGTTCTTTATATATATATATATATATATATATATATATTTATCAAGAGATTACGGGGTAACTCATGCTTCATTAAGTTTACAAATTCAAACTGATTGGAATGTGGCTCCATCGAATCACCCAAAACTACTTGAAATCAACTGTTTCCGCTCGAATTTTGCTGAGCTTTACCAAATTCTACCGATTTGAGCTAGCTTGCATAGGTTGACAAACTTGTAGTGGTGTTTTGAATGCATTCGTGAACCTGCTTCATAGAATTAATTATTAGAGCATCACGAGTAGATGCGCAATATACTTTTCACTTCTAAAATTTTAAGCTTATCGATGGAAAGTTTGCTCCAACAGTTTTCCTAATTAGTATCCTAAAATTTTAAATCCCCTTTCCCTTCTGGCTCTCAACTAGTGGGAGAGAGCATCGGCTCCGAGTCCGCAGCGATCAGATCGTGCAGGAGGAAGTGAAATCGACAACTTCAGTTGATAGTTTGAATTATCTCTTATAGAGAAGTATCTTTTAATTCTTAAATCCTCATTTACGCGCGTTTTGTGCTTCACATATTAAGACGCTTTGGATTTAAATAGATTCATATATGTATTTCATATATATGTTTAAGTTTATACTTATGTTAACATAGGCCGTGTTTAGTTGTAAAATTTTTCTTCAAACTTTCAACGTTTCCATCACATCAAAACTTTTCTACACACACAAACTTTCAACTTTTCCATCACATCGTTCCAATTTCAACCAAATTTTCAATTTTGGTGTGAACTAAACGAGAAAATTGCTTATCTACCATCGCATAAGATGGGATTCGCTCAAATACCATCACTAAAATGGGCTTCACTATAATACCATTCTCAACCAAGATGTCTTTGCTCAAATACCATCCCGGACAAAAATGCCCCTAGTTCATCTTCTTCCTCTCTCCCTCCCACCCTCCAGTGGAGGAATAGGTCGTCGGCGACCACCACCGGCTCCACTACCTCGTCGCCGTCGCTTGTGTCGTCTCGAGCACTGCAGCCCCGCCCCGGCTCGTCGGCTGCCGTCGCGCACCGCCTCACTCGCGTGGTCTCGGCTGGCCGCCATAGTGCGCCACCGCCCCACCACGACGCGCCGCCCTTGCCAGTCGCCGTCGCCGCCGCCGCCGCCGCCGCCGCCGCCGCGCCTCGCTCGCGTGGTCTCGATTGGCCACCGTCGCGTGCCGCCGCCCCACCCCGAGCCCACCCTGACTCGTCGCCCTCGCCGGTCGCGGTCGCCGCCGCCACCGCCGCCGTGACGAGAAAGAGATAGAGGGAGGAGATGCCCCAACTCATCGCCCGCCGTCGCGCGCCGCCTCGCTCGTGTCGCCTCGGTTGGCTGCTGTCGCATGCTACCACCCTTCTCCGACTCACCGGCCGATGACGACCTCGCCCCGACATGGTGGCCGAGACAACATGAGCGACGGCGGCGCAGCAATGAAGCCAGCGGTGGTCACCGGCGACCTATTCAGCCATTGGAGGGAGGGAGGAAGAAGAGCTAAGGGGTATTTTTGTCCGGGATGGTATTTGAGCAAATACACTTTGGTAGAGGATGGTATTCTAGCGAAGCCCATTTTAGTGATGGTATTTGAGCGAATCCTATCTTATACGATGGTAGATATACAATTTTCTCGAACTAAACACAGCCATACTCCTACCAGAAAAACCGATCCTCTCTTGATCAGAAGATTCTCATGGATTTCCAGGGCCGCGGAGATACCGCGTCCACCACCGGAGGCCGGGGGAAGTTCTCCCCAAGATTGCGTCTTCCCTGAGCAAATCAACCGGCACCACCTTTTTACCCTTTCCAGGGAAGCATCTCCCCGTTTTTTCACCGATGCGCACGGCCGCCGGGCCAGGCCAAGCGAAGCCCCAGAGCCAGGCACCGAAGCTGCCCCGATTCCCCTCCCTTCTCTTCCCCCGATGGCGTGCCGTGAGCCACCAATGGCACTTTCCCTGGGGTGGATCTGTGTGTGCAGGCAGCCTGGCGCAAGTTGAAGGTGTTGTGCCAAATGAATCCTGCAACAGCAGCGAACTGTTTTGCCGTGCCCACCCTTTGTGGTGGTGTGGTGCCCCGTTCCCTTCCATTGGTGTTTCTGTGGGCTGTGATTGTGAAACACAGAGGAGAGAAGAGCTAGCAGGAGGATGACACAGAGAGGTTTATGGCATGTGATGCTTGGTTCTTTGGTGGTGGACCTCCAACTCTCAATTCCCTGCTACTGTTGCCTGTGTGACAGCCACACCTCCCCATCAGCATCAGCTGGGGGTACTTGCAAGGTACAACCTCCATTTCAGCTAAACTAATCACGGCTCATGCGATGGCAAGCTCCCATTGGCCGCCCAGAGGAGGAAGTAACCAACTGGACTCGACTGCGGGTGAAGTAGTAGTAGAGTGTACGGTGTAGGCCTGATCTCAGACCGGTCATTAATAAAGTGTCATTTGGGTAAAGCAAGTACTCCGGTGCTTGAAATCCGTAAGACGAAATTCTCAGCCAGAGTGAAGTCAATGGGGGGAAGCTTCTTATTAGAGGGGAGTCATTAGCGCACACCACGTCTGCTTCAGGTTTTATTCCCTCAAAAGCGACAGGAAAGAGCAGATAAAAACCATAATTATCATTAATAAAGCAAGGGTCAATGAGAGGGTGACCAATGCTAATACCCTCAACTGAACACTAGAGAGCCTTGACAAAAAAAAAAACAGAGACAATATGCTGCTGCTACGTGCTATATCTCCAAATAATACTTGCATGACAATAATAACTTGACTAATAGTACATCAACAAAAACGGTGTCTAGCTGGTAGTAGTACCCATCCTGTGCCTCCTCCCATAGCACAGGAGATAATCAATGGAGTATCAAATATCAATTGTGAACTAATTATTTAACCTTGGTCTTGGTCTTATGTACACAGATGCGAAATGCAGAGATGCCATGTCCAATATGCTTCTTCTTCTTCTTCTTCTTTTTCTTCTATCTCGTGATTCTTCTTCTTCTTCTTCTTCTTCCTCTCATCATCCGGGATACACGGTAGTAGGGAGCTTAATTTAGCAGCAGCGCAATGCCTGGCTACTGTGCTGTTACTACTTGTCCTTCGTGCTGTTGCGATCATTTCGTTTTCAGAACTCCATTGATGGTTGGAAGCAAGAGCACGAGTTGCATCTCCCTCCTCGAGCACACCAAGAGACGAGAGCATTTTCATGGTTGGTCGTGGGTTGCTGCTCCAGGAACAGGGTTGTCAACCGAGAGGCTGCATCAGCTGGCCGCATTGCATCTGCACCAGAACGGAGTCGTCGAGGCGGCCGCCGCCGGCGACGTGCGAATTGCCGGCCTCGATCTTCACCTGGGCGTAGGGATGGGGCATGAAGTGGTGGTGCCCGGCGCCACGGCCGAGCGGCGGCGGCGGAGGCTTGCCGTCGACGAGCACGCCGAACTGCTCCGAGACGGCGGCGGCGGAGGAGGAGGAGTGCGCGGTGAGCACGGACGGCGGCGGCGACGGCGAGGGGTTGCCGTGGTCGTCGTCGGGGAGGTTGACGGTGGTGATGTCGTGGATGCTGGAGCGGCGCTTGTCCTTGCCGCCGGAGTTGAGCCGGATGAAGTACTTCTGCGCGTGGCTGGCCACCTGCGTCGGCGTCCGGCTCGTCACGAAGTTGCGGGAGATGTTCCTCCAGTCACCTCTGCCGTACTTCTTCAGCCCCATCAAGAACAACCTGGAACAAAGAAAGCCTCACCAAATTCAGCTCCAAGAACACGCCATGGCTTCATCAGCTTGGTCCAATTCCATCAAAGATTCTGAGAGTTGGGGGGTGGCTTACTTGTGCTCCTCCTCTGTCCACGGCACGCCCTTCTTGCGCTCCTGGTCAGGGCCGCGCGCGCGCTTGCCGCCGACCATGTAGCAGGAGCGCTTGAACCCAAGGCCGGCGGGGTCATCGCCGCCGTCCCAGTCAAGAGTGAACCCGGAGCCGCCGCCGCCGCCGGCGGCGCCGTAGTGGGGGAAGGGGACGAGGCCGGCCTCGATGAAGCAGACGTCGTTCTCGAGGTCGTCGTAGTGCGTCATGACGTCGGCCACCGTCTTGCCGGGCAGCAGCAGCGCCACCCGCTCCCACCTCTCCGGGTCGTTCCGGTCGAGCGCCGCCAGCGCCTGCTCGAACACCTTGTTCTCCTCCTGCGACCACGCTCCGCCGCCGCCGCGCCGGTCCGGCAAGAACCACCCGCCCGCCGCCGCAGCCTGGCCGACGAAGTAGTGCGCCGGCGCCGGCGGGAGCACCTCCATGTACGACTCCTTCATCATCTCCGCGACCGCGAGGCGGCTGGCTGGCTGGCCGGGCCAACCGACCAAGATTTTTCACCTTTCTTTCTCAAAAGCGAGCTCTTGGGAGGTGGAAGAAGAGGGGGAGGGGAGATGGGGGGCGGCAGAGAAGGGCGGTATTTATGGATGCTACAGCATCGATTCCGGCAGATGCCAAAGTGGCCACAGATGATTCGGCCTCCACCTTGAGACGCCGCTTAAAAGAAATCGAGGCGTTCGTTGATTGGCCCTTGGTGGAGTTTGTGGCGTCTCAACCAAACAAAAGCCTCCTCCTCCTCCTCCTCGGCTTCTCTCACTCCTGCGAGAAGAGGAGGGCAGAGCACAGGAGAAGCTGAGCTGAGGAGGAGCTTGGTTGGGGTTTCGCCCGTGTGCGCGTGTGGGTGTTGGTCCAGGCTGGGAGAAATAATAATAGGGAAACTTGGTGCCTTTCCTGTGCAGTTGCAGGCAACGTTGCGTTTCTTTATTGGCCGTTGCTTGCCGCTTTTCCCAATGCTGGAGGAGGAGGAGGAGTCCCGGCTTGTTTATTCGTCCCTTCATTCATTACCAATAGAGACGATCCACTTCTCATGTTGTGCTAGCATTTTCGGTTGGCCAATTCAAGATTACAAATCATTCTATCTTTTATCTATTATATTATTAAAACAGCTAGGCATCACATTCTTTGTGGAGGCTAGAAATTCCCACATTAATCGGAAAAAAAGAAAAAAAAAGAAAATGAGAGTCCAAGTAGAAGTACAATCTAAGAATAGCTATCTAAAAATAGCTGAAATTCGGAATTAAAAATAAGCAATATTGAAAGAAGTTTCTATATAAGAACCTAATACGAGATTAATTAAAATTTGAAATAAAAATAAAATAAAATCTAAAATTAGAAAAGAAAAGAAGAGTCCAAGTAGAAATACAATTTAAAAATAGCTGAAATTCGGAATTAAAAATAAGCAATATTGAAATAAGTTTCAATGTAAGAACCCAATACGATATTAATCAAAATTCGAAATAAAAATAAAATAAAATCCAAAATTAAAAAAGAAAAGGATAGTCCAAGTAGGAATATAATTTTAAAATAGCTGAAATTCGGAATTAAAAATAGGGAATATTAAAACAAGAGTCCATATAAGAACACAATACGAGATTAATTAAAATTGGGAATAAAAATAAAAATAAAATCCGAAATTAGCAAAAACAAAAGAAGAGTTCAAATAGGAGTACAATTTAAAATTAGCTGAAATTCGAAATTGAAAATAAACAATATTGAAAGAAGAATCCATATAAGAACCCAATACGTGATTAATTAAAATTCAGAATATAAAATAAAATAATATCCAAAATTAGAAAAATTAAAAGAGAGTTCAAGTAGGAATACAATTTTGAAACAACTGAAATCTATACTATTATAAAAATTGAAGATGTTTTTACCGGTATTTTGTTACGTCATCCGTGTATAAGTTGGTTTTTAAGTTCTTTTATTTTTAAAAGACATATCCATCATCCGGTGAAAAAAAAGCGAGAAAAAAAAAATAAAAAAGGAGAAAATAAAACTTCTATCGTAAAGAAAACGTCCGACTCCTCCGGTGGAAAAAAAAAAGGAGAGACGACGGAAAAAAAATCGATACAAAAAATAAAAAAAGGAGAGAAAAATTTATACCGTAAAAAAAAGTCCGACTCTGACTCCTCCGGTGGAAAAAAAAAAGAGAGACGACGGAAAAAAAATCAAGAAAAAACAAAGAAAGGAGAAAAAGAAAACTTCTATAAAAAAAAAGACCGACTGACTCCTAAAAGAAGTCCGACTCCTCCGGTGGAAAAAAAACAGAAAAAAATAAGAGAAAAAGAACTTCTATGTAAAAAAAGTCCGACTCCATAAAAAAAGTCCGACTATCTGTGGAGAAAAAAAAGGCAAGAAAAAGTAAAAAAAAAAAAAGAGAAAAAAAAACTTCTACCGTATAAAAAAAATAAAAACGTTCGATTCCTTAAAAAAAAGTACGACTCCCTCGAAAAAGGACTTTTTTGTCCGTAATCTTCTCTTCTACTTCTACTATTTTTTTTATAAAAAATCTCTACTATTATAAAAAAATTAAGATGTTTTTGCCGGTACTATAAAAATTTAAGATGTTCTATTGTCGGTAATTTGGTACGTCATCAGTGTATGAGTCGGTTTATAAATTTGTTCGCTTTTGAAAAAATATATATCCTTCGAGTTGGTTTTTAAGTTCGTCCGCTTTTGGAAATATAGGAGTTGTATAAGAAAATTCGCATGCTAACTTTAGACGAACAGACTCCTAACCGCAGCTTATGATTTTCTAGAAATATATAGATCCAAGCGAATTCTCACAGTGAATTTCATCGTAACTAAACCATATAACAATAATAAGACTAAAATAGTTGTCACCCGTTGCAGCGCATGGGCTTTTCTTTTGAAAATAAAAAATAAAAATATTAAAAGAACACAATACGGTATTAATTAAATTTGAAAAAAGAATTCTGAAATTAGAAATCAAAAAATAAGATTTCAATTTGGAATACAATTTATAAATAATTAAAATTTATGATAAAAATAAAGAATATTGAACGAAAAGACCATCTAAAATACATGACGAGATAAATTAAGTAACAAGCCTATAATGGAGCAGAGTGGTGGCGATTGATACGATATATAAAAACTGTTAATAAAACACCAAATAGAATCCTAATAACGAGAGACGATAGGAAGGCCGTGAAGCAAACGAACAAAACGATTGCCGGGACTTCTAAAAAGTAAAAATAAAAATAAACCTCAATGATAATTATATTCGATTTTTAAAATCTCAATGACAATAAAAAGGAGAAGCAGCGGGCGGGGTGTATAGGAGTATAGTTGCAGAGCTGCCGACGGTTGACGGGACTTCTAGGAAATAAAAAAATGAATTCCAACGATAGTTATGTTCAATTTTTAGAACCACAATGACAATAAAGAGTAGGCGGCGTACGGGCCGTAGAGGAGCATAGTAGCATCGTTTGACAAAACTTCTAAAAATTATAAAAAATGAAACCCAACAAGACAATAAACTCTAAAAACTATAAGGTTCAATTTTTAAAAGTTCGGAACTTCTAAAAAGTAAATAAAAAACAATGATAATCATGTTCGATTTTAAAATCTCAATGACAATAAAGAAAGGAGGCAGCGGGCGAGCCGTAGAGAAGTACAATGGCAAAGCCGCTGACGGTTTGGCGGGACTTATAGAAAGTAAAAATGAACCCAAACGATAATTATGTTCGATTTTTAAAATCTCAATGACAATAAAGAGAAGAGATAGTGGACGGACCATAGAGGAGTATAATGGCAACGTTTGACGGGACGCCTAGAAATTATAAAAACGAAACCCAACTTGACAAAAAAAAACTCTAAAAACTATAAGATCCAATTTTTAAAGGTTCTAAGGAGAATGAATAGAAATAGTGGTAGATCGAACAGGCAAATAAAGAAGGAGATGATATAAGGGGTAGCAACTGGTGTGACTTTTAAAAAACTATATAATTAGAAACACGGGGATGATAAGGTTTGGTCTTTCAAACTCTTAAGACAATGAGATAGCTATTTAATAAATGTTAAGTAAAACCATACTAAAACTATATGATTTTATTTAGGTGCTAGCCACGCAATTGCGCGGGCCACCCAGCTAGTTTTATTAAAATAGCTTGGAAATGAAGCACCACGTTCGCTGTGGGGCTAGAAATTCCCACATTATTTGGGGAAAAAGAAAAAGAAAAGGAGAGTCCAAGTAGAAGTACAATTTCAAAATAGCTGAAATTCGGAATTAAAAATAATCAATATTGAATGAAGTTTCCATATAATAACCCAATACGAGATTAATCAAAATTCGAAATAAAAATAAAATAAAATTCAAAATTAGAAAAGGAAAGGAGAGTACAAGTAGAAATACAATTTAAAAATAGCTGAAATTCGGAATTAAAAATAATCAATATTGAATGAAATTTCCATATAAGAACCCAATACGAGATTAATCAAAATTCGAAATAAAAATAAAATAAAATTCAAAATTAGAAAAGGAAAGGAGAGTACAAGTAGAAATACAATTTAAAAATAGCTCAAATTTGGAATTAAAAATAATCAATATTGAATGAAATTTCTATATAAGAACTCAATACGAGATTAATCAAAATTCGAAATAAAAATAAAATAAAATTCAAAATTAGAAAAGGAAAGGAGAGTCAAAGTATAAATACGATTTAAAAATAGCTGAAATTCGGAATTAAAAATAAGCAATATTGAATGAAGTTTCCATATAAGAACCCAATACGAGATTTATCAAAATTCAAAATAAAATAAAATAAAATCCAGAATTAGAAAAGGAAAGGAGAGTCCAAGTAGGAATACAATTGAAAAATAGTTGAAATTCGGAATTAAAAATAAGAAATATTAAAAGAAAAGTCAATATAAGAACCCAATACGAGATTAATTAAAATTCAGAATAAAAATAAAAATAAATCTGAATTTAGCAAAAGAAAATAAAGAAGAGTTCAAGTAGGAATACAATTTAAAATTAGTTAAATTCGGAATTAAAAATAAGCAATATTGAAAAAAGAATCCATATAAGAACTCAATACGAGATTAATTAAAATTTCGAATAAAAAATATAGTAATATCCAAAATTAGAAAAATTAAAAGAGAGTTCAAGTAGGAATATAATTTTGAAACAACTGAAATTGAAAATAAAAAATAAAAACATTAAAAGAACACAATACGGTTGTCAATGTTTGATGCCGCGATTCCGGTATTTACATAGTATGGGGATCGTTGGTACTAGGTTATACGCGAGGCTGAGGTAAAAGAGACGGGGATGAGGTTTTTATAGGTTCAGGCCCCTGAATTGTCAGGTAATAACCCTACATTATGTTGGCCGAAGTCGGTATTGCTCTTATTCACCATAATCACACCATTAAAATATTTGGGGTAGCCTATCTAATTGTTGTCAATATGGCGGTCTGAAGGTCTGACTCGTAGTCGACAACAGGGTAGCCTTCTTCCTCGAATCCGTGCCCCAGAGATTAGAGATAGCACTTTCGTCTCTCCTGACAGTATCCGGAGACACCGTAAGGGACTAGCCGTGCTTATCCCTAAAGTCGATATCTGGCGTCTTGTCTTGGCTTATGTTGGCTTGTATGTTGTGGCTTCTATTGTGCCGTGTCTTCTATGGTGGGTCTCTCCCCTCTCCTCCTAGGGGGCCTTGTATTTATACCCATAGGTGTCCCCTTATCCAAGTAGAACTAGAGAAACCAATATGGATATAATCTGAGTAGTCCTTGTCGTTTTCATGTAGAACTCTGGTTGTCTTTCCTTATCTGGAACTCCTCCTATATCTACAGGTTGTTTCCATATAGGACATGGTAGAACTCTGGTTGTCTTTCCTTATCTGGAACTCCTCCTATATCTGCAGGTTGTTTCCATATAGGA